GAAGTAAGGCATACGTAGATGGCCGACTTCGTCTCCTTTGCCTAGGTTGTGTTGGCGAGTTAGAAGTTGTATGCTCTTCAGAATAATGATTATTACTATCATCATCTACATCCTCAACGCAAGCATCTGACTCTGACAAACTGCGTTTACGTCCATATGTACAGACATATCTCACGAAAAAAGTACTTTAGAGTTGGATCATCACTGTTCTTTTTGCATACTGACATAACGTACTTAGTATGCGTATACTAAAAAAATAATTATTAGCCACAGAAATCATATTAACTCATGTACTTCTTTCAAACAGGTCGCAAAATTGTCCCAACTTGTAAATCTTCGAGATAACATAATATCATTGAAGATTCGTCTTATATCATGCATCATCACGATGGCATCGTCTTCGTTACTTGAAGAATGAACGTTATCAGATGTGGTGTGGCTGAACTCAAGATCTAAAAATGTCTTGATTTGACCGCTTCTGAAAATTTTCACGAATTGTCGATGTGACGCACCAATCATTTTGCGACAGTTTGACCTTCAAGTGCTCGCAACCCCCATCAGTGGACGATACCCTAGGAGCGTTGCCGTACGTTCATTGCATGCTGGAATGATATCCCAAGTTATCGTAAGTTTAATCACATCGTTGATCGTTTCCAACTAGACCGTCAGTGAGTAGTGTTGCCGAAGAAAGGTTTCTTGTGCCGTAAACTTTGTTTTTATAAGCAAGTGACTGTTGTCTTCAGTCTCAAGACAATATCCTTTGTCTTCTGTTAGGTAAGTTCAACTGGCCCATAGTTCGTGTTTTGGGTTTATCGGCTGAATTATGTACATTCAACTACTTTGAGTAACATGTCTGTGCAAATGAAATAAAAATCATGACACATGCTTAGCTTAGTATTCTTGGCTGTCGTTTAATTCAGTTTAGTCAGTTCAGTCCTTACGACGCAAAACTGCCCGAGCTCCCTATTTTGGGGAAACTTCCCCAAATCTGAATTATAGTATACTTAAGTATAATGCTTGAAGCCTGTAAGGAAACTGGTCAGTTTGGTAAGTAAAACCGCCTGTTTTTAATGAGTATACTGACTCAAATCAGTCTGATTAACAATTGGAAAAAAAGTGCCTTTGATACTGTTGCTGTCATGCATTATAAGATAGCGATAAGTACGTTTGGTGTTTATTTGTAGACTGTTCATCTAGCACTGACCATATTTCAAAATCATCGTCATTAAACAATTTCCTCAGCGTTAACATCGGTAGCAGGATAGCTAAGTGTCTTCTTTTAGTTGCCTGCAAAACAGCAGTATACAGTCACAGAAGAGGAGTGTTCTGTGTCTTAATTAAATGAAACTGGCTGTGAACAAATGTTAAAAATCTTTCTGGCAACTGGGATTTCTCGTTTGTGAGACACTAACTGCTTGTATATCTTCCTGTAAAACCAGACGCAGATGCATGGAAATACTTATATGGGAGCAAAATAATAAAAGCTGTGCGATACGGTACTTAGCTCATGCTATGCTTTGCACAAGTTGTAGTAGCTGACCTGATTTAATATTCATGAACTCGAGGTAAATCACAGCTGCATAAATTCTTTGCTTAAAAACATTTAATTTGTTTATTTACATATTCCGCATTTTTGACTAAAGCCATTATTATTTTTTCATTTAGAATGCAACAGGAGTGAGCCTTCACAGATCTTACAAACTGTGACGCCGTTAGAACTATGGCCCTATGAAACTTTACGGGAGACCCAACTAATAGCAGATTACTAAAAGCAAGCTGGACGTCCAATTTAGTCTCACAACCGCTTCCAGTATTTTTGAGTTACTTCTTTTACCCTTTCGTTTGAAAGAAAAAAAAACAAAGACTGCAGCTTAACATTACCAATTCGACTTTTAAATGGGAACCTGGTGTAAATCTTTGTTTGATATTCCATTGTTAATGAGACTTCCTGAATAAATTTGTAAATCTGATGCTATTTTGTTTTATCTAGTTAACCGTTGTAAGAAACTTGTGAAACACGAGCCTCTCAGCACCTAGTTCATATGTAATAAATTTAAGTGATATAGTGCATATCTTAGTTATTTTCTTGGGAAACTTACAGACTCGGGCCCTCACATCTTATTCTAGCCACCATGCGTTGTCACGGCAGTTGATGGATGGACACGCGTTACACATATCCTAACAGTCTCTGCGTCTAATCTCATAGTTTCTTATTTAAATGCCTTATGATAAGCAAGCAATGCCTCTACCCACACTAATGGAACACTAGTAACTCGAAGGTACCGTACATCGGTCTACATGCTCACTTAAGTCTCCAGTGAGAATATCACTACTGTCCTGCTAAACATTCCATGAACACCTCTATCTCCATCAAAGCAAATAAGTCTGTAGTTGCTGAATATAACACTTTTATTTTTCAAAAGTAAGATATAACAGTTGAAATTGGAGTACAATGGCAATATACAGCAGATGCACATGGTACGACATGTCTACATCGACTACCTGAAATAGAGAATACGGATATTAGCTTAACAGGCTTATTTAGAAAGACTAATGTATATTTTGATAGAGCGTGTGGACTTGTAAGTCCACTGCGTGAGAAGGTTATACTGGAACTACGAATATTGTAGAAATCGAGTTCCCCAGGGCGTACGAAGCACTCAAACTGGAAGACCGTTGTCCAAAAGTAATTCGAATATGAAGGTGGAGATTCGCAGATACTTTTCATCTCAAGAGTGAACATATTAGGTACCCGTTGACATCATACCGTAAAGGAAACACAGATTTGCAACTGGTGAAGTTTGATCTGTAAAAAAAGTGGGCTTAGTAACAGTTAATCACCATTTTACTCCCTGATCATGACCCTCCGGCTTCCTTTTATGGCAGCGTAATGTATTACATTTTCCCTATAGCGACACATACGTGTCCGCAAATAAAACAGAAAGACGTTTATATAGTGAAAGTTATTGGTTGCCCTCATTGCAGTCCATGTGATTACTCGCAAAACGTTGGGAGGATTTGGAGGTTTTCAGTCTCATTTCCACAAAATGCATAAACTTTTCCCGAAAGTCGGGATATTGGCTGAACCAATAAACCAATTGGTTTACTATGTGAAAACATAGTTTCAAGCACATCCACGATCACTTTATTGTATTTTTGTTGTTGTGTTTTAATACACAACAATAGTTTATTAAGTAATAAACTATTTTGTGTTACAGATTTTGTTTCTGATTATATCGTAGTTAGTGCAGTGCGAGAAGATAGACAGGTATTGTTCTCGGGTGATTTGTTACACTTCGAGTCAAGTTAGTATCAACTTGGCAGTTAGCCATTATAGGATTACATCAGTACGTTAAGTTCCCACAATTGATTTTAGTGTAAACGACAGGAGCTCGTACTGTTGTGAAACTAAATTAGTGCGGATGTAGTTCCACAATAATTAAGAGACGGATATTTGTTCAGAAGCATAATAAACAAGTTTACTATATAAGTTAACTTATATAGTAAACTTGTTTATTATTATTATTCCCAAATTTGGGAACTAGTTTTCAACTTTCGTGGAGATGATGCTTCGTACACGTGGGTTCCTAACTTTGGGGAAATCCCCAAAGTGAAATAGCTTCCCAAGCTGTCAACTTTGGGGAAGCCGCTATAGTAAATTTTGGGGAAATGAAACGAAAAACCCAAGATTTCGCCAGACGTTGGGGAAGCTTCTCCAAACCTTGGGGAAATTTCCCCCAAGTTTGGGCTTTTTGTGCCATTTCCCCAAAATTGGGAGCTCGGGTTGCTTTACTACGATAATGTATTTGGATGAATAATAGGTTGCAATGCTACGAACTGTCATATACTAGATATTAAAAACACGAATTTCAGCGAAGGGATCTCCTTTCAACGAACTTATTATCAAGCTGTACAATTGTATATATATGAAAATTTTTGTTTTTTTAAAAGTACTAATTCCGTGAGGAAATGTGGACACAGTTAATTAAAAGGTTATAATACTAGATTACGTAATATGAATAATAACAATAACAATAGATTTTTACACCTCTATGACCTTTAATTATTATTAAACAAAACACATTTTAGTCATCTTATTATATTCACCAAATCTTTGATGAAATCCTGTTACGACGGACTTCTTAGCCAAATAGTGCTTATTTTTGTATTTATTCAGTTAATTTTTCACACTGTAGTCATTATTAAAATCAATGAGAATTCCAATATGAAGTCCGGATAATATTGAACTCCCCACATTCCCATGCATATATATATATATATTTAGTGGGGGCGCACTAAGCAATGAAAATTTCTTCTGAGTGACCTATTTCAAAACTAGCAAATCTTGACGGATTCAAGGACAAATAATATAATTGCTAACGAATTATTAGATAACCAAGCTGAAAGACGTCAAGCTGTTAGACTTATTGTGAACAACCCGAGGGCTCCTGTGTATACAGTTAGGAACAGTACGAGAAAATGTCTTCCGCCTGATCAAAAGTAACAAACACTAGTTACTACTCAGTAAACCATCTTACAGGTTATGACATCAGTAACGCCGTGTCTGCATAAACACCTACAAGCTAACAAAGAACCCAAACACTTTTCTCAAGTGCCTACGGAGAAAACTTCACTCGAAAGCTGTAAGGTTATTTCATGACAATGAAAGACCCGCATACGTTACACTAAAAAGTCTATCATTAGTTCCTTAGCTTTAGACTAGCGATTCGTGAAACCGCTTCAGGTTGAGGCCTTTACCCATACTACAGACTGATCTTCTGAACATCTGGAACGGAGCAGACGAGAATGATGATGAACAATTAGTATCTGCTCATTGGAGCGTATAAAAAACCACACGGGAACGAAGTAATTACATCTGACTTTGTTACTGATCAACAATAATCACAATTCTATTTGGATGAAGAACATAATATTGGTAAGCATGAATTTAATTTATATAAGAATAAAAAGCAATACATTCATTTTGCGTATCATATTACTCATGAGGAAAAAAACTGGACCAGTTCATCAATGCTCCACTCTTCATCACCATCCTGATCGTATTTTTCCATAAATTTTTGTACAACACTTTCTGACAGTTTGCGATTAGAATTTAATTCTAATATCCTCTTAACTTCTTTAGAGGAAAGTTTTCCCGATTTGTCGGTATCTGCATAATCAAAAAGTGCTCTGATTTCCTCCCTGAAATAAAAACAAAGTAACCAGTCATTAATTCACTGAAAGATTTCTACGAAACAATGTGTGATGTACTACTACACACTTACATGGACATCATGACTCGACTGGTGCTGAGTGTTAAAGAACAAATCGCAAATAGCGACGACTGAAAATCAGTTTATATAGTAAATAGTCTATCCAATCAGAAGACTACATGATTTGAACAACGATGTCATGTGCGACCTTGACTAGCAATCAAGGTTGTACTAATTCCATTAGGTCATATGAAACCGCAAGGTGATTGGATAAAAACAGATTTTGTGGTGAGACTATAATTTATGGACGAGCTTTGAAGCGATGCCAAAGTGACCTTAAGACTGTTCACCTAATAACTGGGACCAAATGAGGGTTATAAACCAGTGTGAGGCATTAGAATTATGATTTATAATTGACGGTTAGAGTTGGGTATTACATTTATGGTTTTCATCACGAACTGACATCAACTATAATGCCAAAACTCTATTTAGCCAAATGGATGAGTGAATTTCGCGCCAAAATCCGAAACCTGTTATCTCATATTTGATCGGTTCGTCCATAAATTTCAGTCTCGCCGAATTTGTTTGTTAGACCGATGCGCTTAGTCATGAAATCGTCTTTGGAGCAGCTGGTGTATATTGTACCATCACCCTTGCTTTCTGGGATTGTTCTCCAGACGAATCATTCATCCCAGTTTGATGCGAAACCAACAACTTTATAAAAGTATCTAGTATTGTAGATTATCACAGCTACCATATCCTCATTAAGAAGCTAAGAGCTTTCTAAGGTTCATAAATTAGTTGCCCGAAGTGGACGATATTTTTCGAGAAATCAAGCTGCAGGAGTAAGGTTCATAAACATACAAATGCCATTTAATGATAAAATTGATCGTATGGAAAAATGATTAAGATTTTAATACAGGCCGTATTAAGTGTCAGTTTTGGTCTTTGCATTACAAGCGAACCAACTGAATAAACGCAATAATCGTCAAATCTTCTAACCAATATATCCGGTCGTTAAAACCTGGTGTCTTGAGAAATTCACTTTCTATTCTAAGTCTCATCACTGTGATTACTTCGTATTTAGAACTGATTTTATGATGAGTGGTGACTAGCCTTATGCTTATCTAGTCTTTTAGTTGCTGATCGAATTCTATCGACTAAATTGCTGTTTGGTTACTAGACTAATATATATGACATCGCGTGCAATATATGTACTATGCTAGAAAATCTTAAACTTATGTTTTGTGCTGGTTGGTACTCGTTAGCAAGGGATACCTACAATCATTAGGCAGCTGATACTCCCTGTGTGACTTGTATCCACATCATCCGGCTTCACAGTCTAAGGCATTTGCTGAACTACTCGGACCTCGACCTGTTGTAGCGCTGAAATATTTGCGATTGGTTGATCATCGAGGTGTGACCCATATCATTAGCACTTAAGAGACCAGAGTATTTCACTCATAAGGTGCAGGTAAATGGATCTAAGAGAAATTTGTGAAATATCTGAGCCCGAGTGAGTTATTCAGTTTTGTTGATTATTACAGCCCCAACTGTTTTTATTCTGTTTCGTCACGTTATTTAGCATAAAATGCTTTTTAAATATTTAGCGAATTAATGACTAAATTATGTAGCTTGACGAAACATCAGGGCGTGTTAATCAAAAACGATTTTCAGGGTCAACTGGCCATTCAAAGCCGGAAAGAGAATATAATCACTATTAGTACATAGACCAACGCCCACACTGTTCAAATGTCGGCCACTACATTAATGTGTATAAATTTGTTTTCCGCTAAAATGAGTCATATGTATCACATGACAATGAAGTGATATACTAAAGCGTCAATTAAAGCAACCACTAATGTTTAATCTTAATTTATATGATTTGGACTAGACTGGTACTTTATCCTAACATTAACGTTCAGCTCAGATTCTCAACTTGTGCTTCACTTGTTTACTGACCTCATGAAACAAGTTCAAACCCGTACCATTTTGAAAATAAGGTAGAGCGTCATTTCAAATGTCCTCACTATTGAATTAATCAGTTGAGTATGTAGTAGGCAATATAAAACTGAGCAAAGCAAAAACGGCAAGATTTCTAGAGTAAATTCTATCTATTTCAAAAATTCTCGTCAGTTACAAACAATCTAAAACTACAATAAATGGTATAACTATGAACAACAACTTGACTTCGATAAGTTGAGTTAATTGTTCAAAATGATAATAGGCATATTAAAAAATCATGTTATTAAATATAGTGAAGATTAATGCCTGTATAAGTTTTGAGAAGATAGTCATGAGGAGTGAAGTAGGTAAGATTCAGGTATAGGGTCCTAGAAACGCGTTCAGAAAATCTCAGAAATTGTTGTCTTACTCCTTGTTTATTTGCTAAAATAAATATATGTTAATAAACAAGTTTTGCTGGAGGTGACATCAGAAAGTGTATTAGTCAGTTTTTACTAATTTAATGAGAATTTAGAATCATATTTAATGAAACCGGTTGATTTGTAGGGACTCTTTTTAGTGCCGTCCCAGTTCTTCCTTGGTTTTCATCCCCATTAAATGAAAAGTAGGTGTGGACACGTTTTTTGATAGTTGGACATTTTTAGATCTTAGGACCTCTCTCCATGCTTAATAACGAATTTCTCTAGAAGAATCTCTTCTATGATTGTAGTACTCTTATTTCATCCACTGAACACACTGCTCTAGCTATATTAAAGGGATTTTACTACGTAAACTTTGTGACTTACAGAATTAGAACAGTTATAACTTAAATACAGGCCCGTCTGTATGTATGCTTTTCTCAAAAGTTCTGTCACTATTTAGTTCTATCCTAAGGTTCAAGCAGTCAAAATTCTTATCGTCTCTATACTTCTCTGTAAAAATAATGCTTAGGTGAGGATCCTTGAACTAGTGAAACCGTCGAATGAGATGATTTGCATCAATATAAATAATAAATTGATATCATCAGTACATGCGGGGTGTTATGCTATATTTTTTTAAATTTCGTATTTAAATTCTACTTGTTTAAGGTTAGCTAAAGAGATGTCATTCAGGACAGGTCCTAGTAAGCCTTTTCAATCAGATTAAAGAATAATATGAAAATATCTGAAATATTTCTATCCTTGAATAACTTTACAGATTACTGAAAATCTTTTGAATTTAATAAGGGAACCACTACACAAACAAGCTTGAATAAGAGGAAATAAGATTGAGAAGTAATGAAATTTTTTTATCTCAGCAGCTGTCATCTTTTATCTATCTGTTTAAAGTTGTATTTTTTGTTCAGTTTTGATCAATGTTAATTATGATTTTAGTTAATATTTAAAACTACTGATTATAAGGCTTTCTTCCTCCTTGTTCATTCTAGAATGATTTTTGTAGCTGATGAACGATGCCTCCATATATCACTGATAGATTCTATCTAAGTTTTCCGTAGAAGTGCTCATATTTTGACGGCAATTTAAATCAGTCCCTATCAGATAGTATGAACCGTAATAACCTTATATAGTTGTGGTAAATAACATCGTTTACAATGTATTTGGAATTGAATGATTTATAGCAAAATTTAAGTCACTGTAGATGTCTGAATACTGAAACATTAAGAACATCGAACTAGACATATGAATTATTTTCACCAGTTAGTTTAATTTCAAAACTTATTTTCCTGTTAATAGTTCTTGATCTAAAAGTAATTAGAAATTTCCAGTATGGGGTTACATTATTTTTTTTTAAAACCAAGTTGTTTGTCGATCGATAATCTCTATTGTGCACTTGTTTGTCTGTTTAAACACATTGAAAAGGACATGATGTTAATTAACTATTTCGCTTACTGTTAGATGAAATCAATAATTGTAACAAAGTTTTGAAGGTGTATATGTCCGTTACAAATTCCTGTGTATAGAGTGGGTGAATAAAAAAAATGAATATAATATCAATAAACTGTTTGAATAATGTAATCGACGAGAGAGACAATAACAATGATAAAAACAAAATAATAAAAGTATATATGACCTGATGGTAGGTGAAGGTCATGGGAGGAAAATGACAAAACGGTGGATTTCATACACATTCATTTTATCAGTAAGGTTTAATAGTAAACATGGAGTGTAAAACTTGAAAGACTCATAATTCGTATTAAGGTGTAAGGTTAGTATGATAATTAGAAGTATTTGAATTAATGTATTAACTAAGAATTTCCAAAATAGTGCTATTTAAGGTTAGTAGAACTAGATGAGCACAACTGAACGTATTATATTTGGAATTCGTAATAAGCGCTCAATAAAGTACAAAGAAATCATCAGTTAGTACAAATAACACAGTTAGCCATACATACTCAGTAGTTGTGTAGCATCTACCATTGTCGATTGTTGTTCTGTCCATTTAATGGTTGAGTGTTAAATATAAAAGTGTAATTCTCACTAGAGGTTTCTTTTCAAGCACTGAATCTCTATTTATGTTTTTCATCTGACGTGTCAAGTACAATAACGTGTTAATAGTAGGTTGGTCTGGTTAATTTCAGATCCCAACACTCAACCACTAATTGAACAGAAAGATGATTAAGAATGATTAATACGACAAATTTATTGATCATTGTAAAACGGTTGGATAACCTCACACATAACTAACATTCTGAGACTATTTTCTCTCTAGTGCATTCGAATATGTGAACGACAACTAGAACTGTCTTCTCTTTTGAAACCCCGTGTTCCTAATGTGTTGATTCTCACTGAGTTTCTCCAGTTCACTATCTCAGTAAAATATTTTATTGTTGTCATATTTCGACTCCACGTTGTTCGTTGGACTGTTACTGGATGTTGTAGTCGTAATAACTTTGGAGTATTAACAAAAGGGTCGCAGTAAACATAGTTCAAATTCTGCTCCTAAATTATTATCCTATTGGTGATTTGTTTCCAGAAACATTAAGTTCAACGCTGCCCGATATTCCAATAACAATTAATCATTTGATAATAATAATAATAATAATAATAATAATAATAATAATAATAATAATAATAATAATAATAATAATAATAATAATAATAATAATTGTAACTTTCGTCTCGGTCTTTCAATGATTCGG